GGGCCCAGTGGCAGGGGTGGGGCTAGGGGGCAGGGCCCAGTGAGCAGGGGTGGGGCTAGGGGGCAGGGCCAGTGAGCAGGGGTGGGGCCAGCAGGGCAGGGCCACCTCCCTCCTGGCTTCCGGATGGTTCTGTACGAGGCAGGTGGGGCCTCCTGATAAAGTACATGGGAGACTGAGAGAATATTCTTCCTAGAACAGTAACTGTGATTGGCTGGTTGCTTTTCTGTTTGGGGGTTTTATTCTTATATTTTTGAAATCATGGTCGTTTAAAATTTTGATGTAACTTCAGCCCTGGCTGCTGTGGTTAGAGCAGTGGTCGGCAAACTCAGCCAACAGAGCCAAATACCAACAGTACAACGATTGAAATTTCTTTTGAGAGCCACATTTTTTAAACTTAAATCATACAGGTAGGTACATTGTTATTAACTTAATCAGGGTGCTCCTAAGGCTTAGGAAGAGCCACACTCAAGGGGCCAAAGAGCCGCATGTGGCTCGCGAGCCTCAGTTTGCTGACCATGGGGTGAGAGCATTGGCCCACGCGCTGAAGGGTCGCAGGTTCGATTCCCGGCCAAGGGCAGGTTTGATCCCCGGCCCTGGTCGGGGCATGTGCAGGAAGCAACCAGTTAAGGTGCCTCTCTCACATCGATGTTTCTTTCTCTCTCCTCTCTCTCTCTCTCTGCCCCTCCCTTCCTCCTTCCCACCCTCTCTAAAACCAATGGAGAAAATATCCTTGGGCGAGATCTCACCAAAAACAAAAACAAAGTTTTTTGATGTAACTTCAAACTTACAAAAAGTTGCAAGAAAAGCAGCAAACATCTCCTGAATACCCTTACCCCAGATCCTCGATTGTTAGCATTTGCTCCACTCGCCTTTAGTGCACATTTGGCAATTTCTTGCGGCCACCATGTCCCTGACGCCCACATATTTCAGTGTGATTGCCTCAGAACAGTGACATCTGCCTACACAGCCACAGCCCCGCGACCGGCTCAGGACATGTAGCAGGTTACCATATATATATATATTTTTTTTAAATATATTTTTATTTATTTCAGAGACTAATGCTTTCCCCTCGAAATCCCTGGGCTCTCTGAAGGGCCTTAGTTTTTCTTTCTGTCTGACTCCATTTATCCGTAGACCAAACAGGCCTTGAGGTCCTACTGTGTGCCGGAGCGGGAAGGTGAGCAGGCAGGCTCGGTCCCCGGCCTCTGCGTGACCGCCACGCCCCCTCTGCCCTGCTGGCTCGTTATTACAGTGTCAGAGTCTGCTCCGCTTTCTGGTCAATGAGAGCCCCCGTCACTCACCAGAGAAATGTCTCCTGGCCACACTCTGCTTGTTATGTCCCAGGCACCAGGCTCTAGTCCCGTGGTTCTCAACCTTCCTAACGCCACGACCCTTTAATACAGTTCCTCAGGTTGTGGTGACCCCCAATTTCATTGTGACAAATTGAACATAATGAAAGCATAGTGATTCATCACAAAAACAATATGTAATTATGTATGTGTTTTCTGATGGTCTTAGGCGACCCCTGTGAAAGGGTCGTTTGACCCCCAAAGGGGTTGCGA